CTATTTATTTATTTATTTATTTAATACACTTGTATACCGCTAATATCTCAGCCTAAGTCGGCGACTCATTGCGGTTTACAACAATTAAAAACAATATACAATTTAAAACAACAACACATAGACAATACAAATTATTGGGCCACCAATAATAATACCATGTATCTCGTCACTAAAATCACAGTCCAGAATTCGTCATCCATAATTAACCAGTCCTTAGTCCATAAAATTCGGTGATAACAAACTAACCGAATGCTTGTTTACACAACCATGTTTTTAATCTCTTCCGAAACACCATCAGCGAAGAGGCTGATCGTATCTCTATAGGGAGGGTGTTCCAAAGCCGAGGGGCCACCACAGAAAAGGCCCTGTCTCTCGTTCCCACCAGCCGCACTTGGGAAGCCGGTGGGATAGAGAGCAGGGACTCTCCAGAAGATCTAAGGGTCCTGGTGGGCTGATAGGCTGAGATACGTTCAAATAGATAAGTTGGGCCAGAACCGTTTAGGGCTTTAAAGGCCAAAACCAGCACTTTGAATTGATTTCTAATTCAATTTCTAATTGATTTGAATTCTTTCTAATCAATGAGCTGGGCACTCTGGGATTTGTAATCCTAATAGGACCAAGGCAAATACAGGGAAATAAAGCTATTGTTCAGTTTCATGTAGTTCTAGCATAGTTGCAAAAGCACATTATCTTTGTTCTTGAGATGTGCCTTAAGCCAAGGCGTTTGTATTTTGCTAAACTCTATATGTGGTTTCCAGGAGGAGCAGTAGTGAGGAGCTGCAAAACAATGTAACACAGAATGGTAGGTTGGGAAATTAGGTAATATTTTATTTATTTACAGTATTTATATTCCATGCTTCTTACCCCGCAGGGGACTTAGGGCGGATTACAATGCACATATACACGCCAAACATTCAATACTATTTAGACATACAACATATATAGACAGACACAGAGGCAATGTAACATTCCAGCAATTTAACATTTTCCGGACTCATGACAGTATGCTTGATCCTGGCCACAGGGGGAGCTGCTGCTTCACCGTCCACTTGTGACATGGAGTCCTTTGATGGAGTACTTCCTCATTCTTCTGGATGCTGCTGAAAGGTTTTATGGCATCATAAATTAGTTAAATTAGCCTTCCCGCATAAAGCGGTATCTAGATTTCCTACTTGACCGATGCAACTGTCTTTCAGGCTGTATAGGTTGACAGCAAGCTAGACTATTAATGTTCAGGAGCTTACTCTGACCCGGGCTGGCTTCGAACTCATGACCTCTCGGTCAGTAGTGATCTAATGCAGCTGGCTACTAACTGGCTGCACAATCAATCCTCTACTTTCATGGGATGTAGTTACCCTGCAAAAGTGGAAAAAACAATAAATATCCGGTTGTGGGGAAAGAGAAGGGACACCACCTCTGTGGTCACTAAGTGGTGACCAACTGTTATGGTATCGCGGGAAGAGGAAGAGGAGCAGGCCCCTTGTGCCATCACAACTTCATTTACCTTATAGATCTTGGTCCTTTTCTGCTTCTTGTATGCTGTGTGTCTGGGCAAAGAAGGGAGGTACCAGGGGAAAGATAAACACTTGGCACACAAGAAGAGAAGGAGGAGCAGGGTCCTCACTCACACAGTTCTTTACATATCCTGCTGATCCCAGATCCTTTTCTTCTTCCTGTGAACCATGTGCCTGTTTCACCTGGTATCTCCTTCCCTATTCCCAAGTAAAATATAAACATTTGGAGGAGGAGGAGGCTCCCAAATGGGAATGCATTGTGAAAATTCATATGACGGGAGGTGAAATAGGAGGGGTCATCACTACCTACACCATCTGTAGCTCCGAAACAGAACCCCCATCTCCTGAGGACAAGGTTGCCATGAGAATGTAACCATAGCAGACCCCATTTTGGAAGGTGCGTATGGCAGTACACACTCTTGAAACATCCAAACTACAAGCGTAAAACTTGTGAATGTGGAGGGCCAAATGTACTCTATCTTGCATGAACAGAAGTACTTTCTGCTAGTGCAAATAAACTATTAGACACAATACAACAACACTTAAAATTCTTCCCCAGGTATCAGAGCTTTGGAGTATCATCCATGAAAGTAAATTCACATTTGCGATGATCAGGGTGCTTGGAGAATCAGGAAGGTATCAGGAAATGTCAGCACAGATGGAGATTAAGCCATCTTCACCTCATGTCAAACCTGCCATCTGTCTTCCTCGAAGAGTGCCTTAATCAGATTTATGTGGCAAAACATATTCACAGAATGTACAATTGCTCAGACAGCCCTGTCCTTCCCAAGCAGTTGCACGGAAATTGGGCAAAAAAAAAAAGAGAGAGAGAGAGTTTCATCTTGACAGCTTCCTTGTGTACAATTGGTGCACTTTCTATCATTATTATTATCTCCTGAAAGGGATGCCTCATTGGGAGTGTGAAATAGAACAATTTGGTGCACTAGAGATAGATAGACGGGAAAGACAGCTCTCGTGGTAATCTTACTTGCCAGTCAGTTTAGTCTCACAAAATCTGTTTTGTTTAGTGAATACCTCTTATCCCTTCCTGCCAAAAGAAAGAATGAAAGAGAAAGCTTTCAGTGAATGTTATTTCAACTAGCATCTGAACTGCTTTCAGCTTATCCTGTGTATGCCTAGGGCTGTCGTTAGATGTCACATTTACCTTGTGCCAAAACATTTTTTATTTTTGTTTTTAAAATTTAGATCCTTGCAGCCTGCCTTCAAGACAGCTTATGTAAAAATAATAAAACTCCCGATCAATAAATTGTAATATACCAAATCCAAAATTGCAGTATTCAAAATCCATAGCAAACTCAATTCTTCCAAAAACAACTTTGTAGGACTG